TTATTATTTTGAAGTGTTTTATGGCATTAATTATTTTATTAAAAATAATAAAATTAATTATTTTATTAAAAATAATTAATGCTATAAAAAACTTCAGGGCATAAATACAAGCAAAAAATTTTATTAAAAAATTAAATGCAATTAAAATTCTATATTTTAAAATTGTCATGTAAATGAAAGTATCAATTTGAATACAAGAAAAAATTTATAATTAGGAATTCACAAAAAAAGGTGTATTATTAATGATGTGAAAGAATAAAAAAATGCATATTTTAAAGCAAAAGCAAAAGCAAAAAGCAAGGCAATGGCGACATACTTGACGGTTTTTAAAATTTAACAGCCTAGTATAAAATATATAATTGAAATTTCACATAATAATATTTTAATTAATTTTTAAGTCTATTAATTTTATTTTAGTTTATACACTTTTAATAAAATAAAATTTATAAAAGTGATTTTAATGATATAAAAATTAAATGTAAAAAAAAATTTCATGTTTTAAAATTATAATAATAATAAGTAAATAAAAGTATCAGTATGAATACTAGAAAAAATTATTCAATAATGAACTCACAAAAAAAGGTGAATTATTAGCGATGTGAAAAAATAACAAAAAAAAATATATATATATTTTAAAGCAAATGCAAGGCAATTATAATTATTAAAATTTCACAATAATTACAGAATTATTTATTTAACTTACATTATATCGCAATTTATGCTGTTTATTACAAAAATACAAAAATATTTTACTTATTCATACTCTATGAAAAATGTTTCTTCCATGAAATTCTTTGAACGTTCAATTATCATTTTTAAAACGATTTGTTATAAGCGTTATTTATTGTTTACGAAATTGAATAAATAAATAATACCTCAAAATTATCAAGATACATTTGAAAGAATAAAAATCTTAGAAATCTTTAAATTTTTATCATAAAACAACCAAACGATTTAAAAAAATCGGAATAATTTTCTTCTATATTTTAAAGCAAAGAACATTTTCACATTCTTTAAAGACCATATATACCAGTAAAACCTTTTTATTAAAAAATTAAATATAATCAAAACTCTATGTTTTAAAATTATCGTATAAATAAAAGTATCAATTTTAATACTAGAAAAAATTATTAATTTATAAATTCACAAAAAATGAGAATTATTAATGATGTGAAAGAATAACAAAAAATGCATATTTTGAGGCAAAACCAAGGCAATTATAATTGTTAAAATACAATTACATAATTATTTATTTAACTAATACTGCATCGCAATTTATGCTGTTTAGTACAAACATACAAAAATATTCATACCCTGAAAAATGTTTCTTTCATATAATTCTTCGAACATTCAATTATCGTTTTTAAAACAATTTGTTAGAAACGTTCTTTATTGTTTACGAAATAGGATAAATAAATAATACCTCATAATTTTCAAGATACATTTGAAAGAATAAAAATCATAAAAATATATAATTTTTTATCATAAAACAATCAAACGATTTAAAAAAAATTGGAATAATTTTCTTCTATATTTTAAAGCAAAGGCTATTTTTGCATTCTTTAAAGAGCATAAATACCTGTAAAACAATTTTATTAAAAAACTAAATATAAACAAATCTCCATGTTTTAAAATTATCGTATAAATAAAAGTATCAATTTTAATACCAGAAAAAATTATTAACTTATAAATTCTCAAAAAATGTGAATTATTACTTATGTGAAAGAATAATAATGAAAAAAATATTTTAAAGCAAAAGCAAGGCAATTATAATTATTAAAATTTCACAATAATTACATAATTATTTATGTAACTAATATGGCATCGCAATTTATGCTGTTTAGTGCAAAAATGCAAAAATATTCATGTTGTTGTTGTTTCTTATCCCACTTGGTTGGCCAAGCCCACGAGCCCATATGGACTCATGATTGAAGGGGAAGGAAGCAGCTTCTGTTGTGATGGAGCACCCGTAGGTAGAAGCCTGACTTTGGCTCCGAGACGCTCTTAAAGTCATAGGAGACCGGGACCTACAGCTTAAAGTGGATTCCGAACCACTACAAACATGCATGGCACCGCCGGGATTCGAACAGAGCGCCAGACACTCGGCCATTCAGGTCCCACATTTGTGAATGCCAACGGCACGCGGTGTTCCCAGGTGGTCACCCACCCAAGTACTGACCGCGCCCAATGATGCTTAACTTCGGTGATCTAACGAGAACCGGTATATTCAGCATGGTACGGCCGTTGGCATATATAATATAATATTCATATACTGAAAAATGATACTTCTTTCAAATAATTCTTTGAACGTTCAATTATCGTTTAAAACGATTTATTATAAACATTCTGTATTGTTTACGAAATAGAATAATAGAATAATTTCACAAATTTCAAGATTTATTTGAAAGAATAAAAATCACAGAAATCTTTAATTTTTTATCATAAAACAACCAAACGATTTTTTAAAAAATTAGAATTATTAATTTGACAGGTATTTTGAAATATTGAATATATATTTTAAAAGAACACACTTGATAGATTTTCTGCTATATACTACGTAATAAAAGAATTTTCACCTGTGAAAGATATCGATGTATTTTAATCGATTTGTTTAAGCAAAAACAATATACAAAAAGTAAAATATAATAAATAAAATGACACCAAAAAATAATTAAAAACGGGCAACTTTTTCTTTAAAAAAATGGCATTAAATCTTAAATAAAGAAAATAACATTGGTAATAATGAATGGTAGAACATATACAAAAAAATTTTAATTTCGATATTTTTATGCTTTTAGTTTTTTCTTGAAAAGAAATTTATGTTTTAGTGCAGTATCTTCAGAGAGATAATATTGTAATATTATTATTTTATAAAAAATAAAAATAAATATCTCAATAAAATTATAAGCTTTTGATATTTGTTGTTATTTTTAAAGAAATTTTTTTAAAAAAATTTTGTTGGTATTGAATTAAAAAATGATATTAAAAAATTATATCTACGCATAAACGAAGATTTATGATAAAGATCTGACAAATTTCAAGATTTATTTGAAAGAATAAAAATCACAGAAATCTTTAATTTTTTATCATAAAACAACCAAACGATTTTTTTAAAAATTAGAATGATTTTCTTTTCTATTTTAAAACAAAGATTATTTTCACTTTTTTTAAAATGGCAACGCACAAAAAATAAATGTTAAAATCAACAAGAAAAGGAACTACCTCATTTGTTTATTTAAGTACGAAAAAAAATGTCCCAAATGACTTCGAAAATAAAAAGAAGATTTTATGCCATATTTTTTCCATAATAATAAATGTGACCTAGATTCGAGAGCAGCAAGAAATAAAAGTATAATGGCTGCCATCAATATCTCAATAAATGGGGAATATCAGTTTCCTGGTGGCTTAAATTAAGATGGAAAAGTTAAAAGACTTTCTCACAACTGCATTCTTACTTCTGAAAATAATTGTATTTTATTCCAAAGGGACGTTTTCTCCTATTACAAATTCGGAGTGATTAATTGAAGTTTTGCTCTAAATATTCCGTGACTCATTTAATCCAATTTTATTTATTTATTTTTTCATATTCATTGTTTTTTAAATAAAATGTCATTTAAGGATCTTTTGAAAACTTGTGAATGTATTTTGCTAACTGATATTTTAAGAAAAGGATAATATATGTCAAAGGTAAAATATATGTGAATATTTTTACGGGGAAAAATATTTGGAATATAAAAGTGATATATGAAATTCTAAATGATTTATTATATAAATTAAAAAAAAAATTCATAACATTTTTCAGTTATGTAGAAGATTTATAATAGAAAATTTAAAAAAAAAAATAGTACTATGTATATAGAGAGGATGATTAATAGACTTATATATAGAAAATGAAAAGTTCAGATGAAAAAAAAAAATTATCTGAAATTTCTATTATTAATTTGACAAGTATTTTGAAATATTGAATATATATTTTAGAAGAATACACTTGATAGATTTTCTGCTATATACTACGTAATAAAAGAATTTTCACCTGTGAAAGATATCTATGTATTTTAATCGATTTGTTTAAGGAAAAACAATATACAAAAAATAAATTAAAATAAATAAAATGACAACAAAAAATAATTTAAAAATGGGCACCATTTTCTTACAAAAAAATGGTATTGTACCTTAAATAAAAGAAATAACAATGGTAATAATAAATGATAGAACATCTAACAAAAAATTTTGATTTCAATATTTTAATGGTTTTATTTTTATTCTTGAAAATAAATTTACATTTTAAAGCAGTGTTTTCAGAGAGATGTGAAATAATATTAATTACTAAAAAATAAAAATCTCAATAAAATTATAAGCTATTAATATTTGTTACTATTTTTAAAGGAATTTCTTTAAAAAAAATTTTGTTGGTATTGAATTAAAAAATGATATTAAAAAAATTTCATTCATAGATAAATGAGGATTTATGACAAAGATCCCATACAATATGTAACGTCTTTTGAAAAAAAAAATAATTGACTAAAATCATACATCAACAAAAAATTGCGTAATAGACAATTACAAGTCCCACTTTTAAAATGCTGTAAAAAAAATAAATAAAGAAAGAATCAATCGTCACAATGAGTTCAAATTTGAGCTGAAGATATTTGAAGAAGGGGAAAACGGTATAGCATCAAAACCGACATTTCAAATCAAAACTAAATCAATCAAAACCAAACCATCCACCGATTTTTCCCATCCAATTTAATAGGACCTTGCCGTGGTGGATGGGATTTCCACTCACAGTGTCACAATTGTTGAATGACTTATAAAGTCCGTTTTTTTCGTCAAAAATCCGAAACAATCAAGCACATTGAACACTACGGTTGGTTTAATGTGCAACTCATACCAAATACGTAGTCATTTCGATTCAAAATATCACTGGCAGCCGAATTCACTTTCTTTACGCTGTTTACAGCGCCATCTTTTAATACACTTTGGAACTGTTTTTGAAGCCAACGGCCGTACCATGCTGAATATACCGGTTCTCGTTAGATCACCGAAGTTAAGCATCATTGGGCCCTTGGGTGGGTGACCACCTGGGAACACCGCATGCCGTTCAATTTGGGATTTGAATGGCCGAGTGTCTAGCGCTCTGGCGTTCGGTGCCACAGGTTTGTTCGAATCCCGGCGGTGCATTTTGAAAGTACTTTAAGCCGTAGGTCGGTCTTCTATGACTGTAAAAAAGCGTCACAGCAAAAGTCATGCGGGTGCTCCATAAGCTGCTTCCTTCCCCTTCATTCATGAGTCCATATGGGCTTGTGGGCTTGGCCAGCCAAGTGGGATAAGAAACAACAACACTGTTTTTGATGTCGTACCGTTTCCCCCTTCTTCAAATATCTTCAGTTCAAATTTGAAGTCCTTGTGATGAGTGGGTCTTTTTTGTTACAGCATTTTGAAAGTGTATTTTAATTGTATTGTGTGTGTGTCATGTATATAATATATATATATATATGTGTGTGTGTGTGTGTAGATAAAGAGAGAGAGAGAAAGATAGAGAATCATTTGCATGCTAGAGCTAATTCTAAACATTGATGCTTTAAAATAAAGTTAAAATAACAAAAACAATCTCAAGTGAATTTTAAATGTATGCAATTATTTAAAAAAAAAAAACCCGCAAGAATTCTTTTCAGTCACGATTTGTAATTTTTTTTGTGAGGACAAATTACATGCTTAAACCAAAAAGACTACAAGCACACGATTTCGATGAATTCGAATAAGTAGTTTTTACTACCTAATTGATACTGTGGATCAAAAAGAAATTGTAGAAAACTATTCAATGTTCTTTTATTATTCATCTTACAGAGTAGGAAATACATTATTACCAAACATTTATTTAGCAGTTAAAGTAAATGTTTCTTCCAGAATTCTACTGAAAGAATGCGCTGAATTATAATTCACATTTCATATTTATTTAGTTATTGTTTTTTTTCAAACATTTTCAGTATCAAAAAACATTAGTTAAAAGCCTCTTGTGGTAAAAAACACTACTAAATTAAATGTTTTAGAGATGAAAGAATGCTATTTATATGCAATCAGCAAATAAGATTATGTAATTTATACGACACAAGATAATAAAAGAACTTGAAATCAGTGAATAAAGCTAAGTTCAACATCCGTTTAATGTAATTATGAATTAGTTACGTTTTTTTGTAACTTCGAACATAGTTTCAGTGATATCAACTCCATAAATTTGTAACAAATTTTTGCACTGTTTTGTTATTATATATTTATTTATAGTTTGATATTTGTTTAGTTTATAATTGTTGTTATTATTTTTATTTAACTTATGACGAGTGCTTATGCAATGCTTTATTTTTATCAGCTGTATCGTAAAATTTGACAAATATTCTATTGAATATTTGCACATAAAATAAATTAATAGTTTAAAAAAACTAAAAAATACGCTTTTAGAGTTAATCAATCTAAAAAGTAAAAAATAATTGCTACCATAAGAATAAAATGACTGACTAGAAAATGAATGTCACTGTTCTAAAATCGTGGGGTGCTCGATATCAATCGTTATAATTTCTCACTAGTTTCATTCCGAAATGCAGAGTTAGTTTAAAAATGTCATACAAAGCACCCCACGCTTTTAGAACAGTGACATTTCGTCAGTCATTTTATTCTTATGTTAGCAATTATTTTTACTTTTAGATTTAACTTAAAAGCGTATTTTTTAGTTTTTTTAAACTATTAATTTATTTTACTTTTTAGTCTGATTAACTCTAAAAGCATATTTTTTTAGCTTTTAAAGTATAATTGTTTTTACTTTGTTTTCCACTTGGCCGGTTATCCGCTAAGTTATACATAACCAAAAAAAAGAGCGCAATTCGGCATGATCGCACTCCTATGCCTTTGAGATCCGCCTCTTTTTAGCCACCGAAATTTTTTCGGCCAATAGGAAAGAGCGCAATTCGATCGCGGATCAGTTGACTGACTCGCCAGTAGATGGCGCCATCAGTCCCAAAATCGAGCCCAAAAAGTGAGTTACATACAAACATACATACATACATACAAACATACAGGTGAAGCTAATAAAAGCGTATTAATTACCATGATTGTTTAAATATATGAAATGATTGAATAAACAATTTTCCTTATATTTTTATTCTTGGAGGTTTATAAATTTTAATTTTGCAGTTTTCATTGAAATTTTTCTCAACAAAATTATTAAAAAATAAAACATTTTAGGTTATTTAACAAAGTACGGGCACTAAATTATATTAAATAGCTTACAATAAATTGCGAATATAAATAAATTACAAATACAGATACACGTGTAGCTTCAAGATATGATACGGACGCTAGTAACACTATATATATAGGGTGATTATAATTAAAGTCCCACTTTCAAACAGCTGTAAAAAAAGGAACATTGCGTTCAAATTTGAACTGAAGTTACTGGCATCAAAAAAAAAAAAAAAAAAAAATAGTTCGAAAAGCTCCACCAATTTTTCCATCCAATTTAATATGACGTTGCCCTGGTGGATGGGTTTTCCACTAACAATGTCACAATGAATGAATTGGAAGTCATTTTTTCGTCAAAAAACTGAAACAATCAAACACATTGAACACTACAGTTAGTTTAATGTGCAACTCATGCCAAATGTGTTGTCATTTCGATTCAAAATATCACTGGCAGCCGTATTCACTTTCTTTATGCCGCTTACAGCGCCATCTAAGAATACACTTAGGAACTTTTTGATGCTGTAACGTTGTCTCCTTCTTCAAGTATCTTCAGTTCAATTTGAACGAGTGGTTCTTTTTTTTTTACAGCATTTTGAAAGTGGGACTTTAATTATAATCACCCTGTATATATATTCTATTAATCATAAAAAGTTATGTTTATATTTCCAATTTATCGTTTGAACACTATTAAAATCTAAAAAAGCTGAATATAAAATTTAAAAAATAAATACACAATTAACTAAGTTGCATAGTTTACAATTAAAAGTTGCATAAATAAAAAAGTTCAATATTAAGACGAATATATATAATTTTTCCTATGAATAATAAACAAGTTCTGCTTTTTTTTTTAATTGAAGTCTGGCTAAAATATTATGTTACTAAAGAATGAAATAATATTTGAACTCCCATTCTCAGTTAACTGGCGTACTAAATTCCCGATTTATGCGTCTTGAATATTCTGACAAATAAATTGGTCGATTTTCTCTTATAGATTTAGGTCAGTCTACTGTTCGATCCATAAAATCAAGTAATCTGATTTCGTAGGGCAAATTTATGATTAGATTTCATGCTTGTATGAGTCTTCTTCTTAGTTAACTATAGTATAATAAATCTAGCTGTAATTCTTGAATCTAATTTAAATAAATCCGACATTTTCACTAGGAATGCATCAGTAATGGTAATAATTTGATTTTCAAAATGAAATATCACGCTGCATTATAATTTCAAATTTTAAAATTTTTTTTATTGGAATTAAATAGTTAATTTATTTGTTTAAATCTGATTTCAAAATTGATTAAATGTAATTGATTGATTTTTGATTTGATTGAAATAGATTTTTCATAAATGAGCATTTGTATAATTTTAAATGCATCTCTCAATTATCTTAGCAGCCTGGTGGCGAAGTGGCTAGCACTCTGGTCTTTGTTATCACAGGCTTCAGGTTTGAATCCTGGCGGTGGCATGGATGTTTGATAGTGTTAGTTTGTTAGAATCCACTTAAAACTATAGGTTTCGGTCTGTTTAGCCCTCATGTGCACGAGATGACCATAGAACGACAAACCAAGCCTTCAATTATCTTAATTTATTTACATAAAAAATTTTCAATTAGATACGTTTTCAGTTATGCATTTTCCCTATTTCACTTATACAATTTCAATATAATAAATCTAGATGTAATTCTTGAATCTTATTTAATAAATCCGACATTACCATTTAAAAAGAATCAGTAATGTTAATAATTTGATCTTAAAAATGGAATATCACGCTGCATTATAATTTCAAATTTTAAAGTTTTTTTTGTTGGAATTATATAGTTAATTTCTTTCTTTAAATCTGATTTTGAAATTAACCAAATCTTGATTTTATAGATCATTTTGTCTTATTTTTCATAAAGGATCATTTGTAGAATTATAATTTATTTACATATAAAATTTTCAATTAGATAGATTTTCAATTGTGCATGTTTACTGTTTCACTTATACAATTTCAATATTTCAATATAATAAACGTAGCTATAATTCTTGAATCTTATTTTTTAAAATCCGACATTTTCATTTGGATAGAATCAGCAACCTTAAGGGCCCTTAAGGTTGCTGATTCTATCTAGTGGCTAGCACTCTGGCACTCGGTACCACAGGTTTTGGGTTCGTGTCCCGGCGGTGCTATGGATGTTTGTAGTGGTTCGGAATCCACTTTAAACTGTAGGTTCCGGTCTGTTTAGCCTAATGTGTACACTAGATGACCGTAGAGCGACAAACCATACCAGTAACGTTAATAATTTAATTTTAAATACGAAATATCAAGCTAAACGTCTGAATCATAACATCCGATTTTAATGAGTTTTATATAAGTTTATTGGAATTATATAGTTTATTTCTTTCTCTAAATCTCATTTCAAAATTAATCAAATCTTGATTTTATAGATCATTTTGCCTTATTTTTAGTAAAGGATCATTTGTGTAATTTTAAATTTAACTTTCAATTTCCTCAATTTATTTACATATAAATTCGCGCCAAATGGAATCTCCAAAAACCGCAATATTTTCTAACCGCAATGACCATTTTATTTGCTTAGGAGGGGGCGTAAACCGCAGAAGAAAAAAAAATCGCCAAATAGACAAGCGGAACCTTAAAATGCAAAACTCCAGTTCTTGTAATACTCTGGTCATCTGCTTCATAAATTTCGTGGTTTATTCACCATTGGTATACTCTCTAGTATATTCGTCCAGCAAAGTATGTTCATACATTATAAATTGAAATTCTTGATTTCAGTTTTTTTTAAATTTAAATAATTGCTGTGCTTCAAAAGGCAACGCTCGCTCGACATCGACTGTCAGTGGATGAGTCGTGGCATGCACAAGTGCAAT